AGTACATGATAGTTCTAGAAACTTTGCGTCATAGTAGTCACGTGACTCGCTGACGCAACAACAGCAAGTGCTGATAAGATTAATAAGGGGATAGATGTCATCCAATCCCTGTACTTTTGTCATGGAAAAGAAAACTACTAAAATAATTTGGTGAATAAACAGTTTAGGGACAGTAGATGACTGATGGAAGAAAATGTGGTTTTAGTATTCAAATTTTTGATTGCACTTTGGAATTTTGCTGTGGGAGTAGCATTATCACAAATACAACATGTGAAAGAAAATTTAAACCATTGCTAAAGTAAGACGATGAATTTGCAAAAAAAAAAAACAAAAAAAAACAACAACAACAACAACAAAACATATCATACCTATAACATTTTATTAATTTTATCATCACTTGATGTTTTGTCAGTGTAGAGTTCTATTCAGGTAGATGGTTGAGGGAATCTACTAATAGCTCCGTCCCTGACAATATTTTGTAAATGGTCGTGAAAAGAGCCTTGGGCTCTTCAGCAGGTTGACTCATTTATTTTAATGTGTAAAACTAGGGGTTTAACTTTGTAGTGTGCTCCCAACGGGTATCGAAATCCGGTTTTTGGTGTTATAAGCCTTTAGTCTTACCACGAGACAGTGGGTCACGGGGGGAGGGAAATAGTGTGAAAGTATAATGAATTATACTATTAACTCTCTGAATATTATCTTTTGTTAAGTTGAGTATATCAGTAGAACTCTTCTCAATATATGCTACAAAATATATAGATCAATCACATTGATTAAAAAATTGTGATTGAAAATCGAAAGCATTTAAAATAAATTGTGTACGAAAAGGAATAAGGTGTGTGCAGAAAATTTCCAGAATAGTCGTTTCAAACGTTTTGCGTGTCAATAGCCTGCTTCAGTAAAAAGATGGCTGCAGCTCATCGTGATGTATCTCCTCTTTTGCAAAAAATTCGTAACTTTCTTCTTGGGGTAAATTATAATAAGTTGTAGATACTATTCATTATATCATATTTGATTTTAAATTACATTCATAAGAGGAAATAGAAAATATTTGAATTAATAAACTTATGACATAAACTGAAATAATTTAGTTATATTACTATTACTACCTGTAAGTGTAATAGTAAATGTAATATACAGTATAACTATAACTTAGTGCTAATCTTACGAGTCATATCAAGTGACGATGTTACTAATATACCAGTGTACTCAAAGTTAGAGTTTTAACACATTTCAAACTTTACAAAACATTAAACACTAATAAAGGAATGCTTGACCAGGACTTTGCAAATAAGTATCTCAGTATCGAAGTCAAAATACAAACTCCAGTATTCCAAGAAAGCAACATTGTTAATATCAGAATCGGAAAATAATATTATGAATAATAAAGATTATTCAAAATAGCAACATTTTAATTTGCTTAAGTATTAGTATTAATTTGATTAAATCACAAATAATGATCAAGTGAATATTGGCAATGATATATTTTATTTTTAACAAATGTCTTGGTTATCAAATTTTGCTTTTTCTTCAGTTTTTACTAACGAAGATTTAAGCGATTTTCCACATCTTGAACAGTTGATAAATGAAAACAAGATGACTGCATTAATTCTGAGCTGGTTAAGAAAAAATTGGGAAATTTAAAGAACAATAAGACTCCTGGGCCAGATAATATTTACCCAAGAGTTTTGAAGGAAGTTAAAGATTGG